TCCACAAATTACCCTTATTTCTAAAAAGGCTTTAACGAATTAATTTGTGATTTTTTTTCTAAAGACTATTTTATTTTTTATTATTTTATTAAAACATTATAATTTTGAAGTACCACTAATTAATCTCATATAAAATATAGTTTCAATTTTCATGTAATTATAAAGGGAAATGATTTTGAAACAACTTTTTTATATTATATTTTGGTACAATATGACGTATTATTTAAATGATTGATCCTTTTTATTCATGTGATATTCGTGATATTAAATGCATCCATTCATTTAATGATATATTGAAATTATATCAAAAGATAATATAAAAAAATTATTCTTATAACATCACCCAATTATAAATATCACATAAACTTTAAATTAGGATTGTATAATGCATATAAATAAAGTATCAAATCTAATTATCAATTTGATAAAATATAATTATGTAAAAAGTTACAACTAATATAATATTATATTTAAATTATACAAATATAACTCAATCTTGACTGTTTTTTTAAAATTTTTCTTTAGCTAGATAAAATTTTATTTCTTAAGAATGGATACCAAAGAGAAAAGTTGTCGCTTTATCTTGCTCCTAATTATTTCTTTTAGATTTGAAATGGATCCCATCGAGGCCGGATCTACTCTTGGGAGGAGTTATATACACACAAACTCAACCCTTCTCTGAAAAGACTTCCATAATTAAGTCTTGCAATTATGTACTTTACCTATTAAAATAAACATAATATACAAAACCTTTTAATTTTATTCCCTATTAATCAAAAATAGAATGGACCTTATCCAATAATAGATTCTGGTTTCTCACTCCTTGTTTCTATAATTCAAATATCAAAAATAAATTTTTTCGTAAACAAAAATTGATATTCCTTATTAGACATTTTTCAAAAGCTTGGCAGGTCTACGGTAGCTCCGTCCCTGATGTCTATGTTAAGCTTCTTTTTTCCAATATTTTTTTAGATACTACATTTATATTTTTTTGTTCAATATAAGACACCATGTGATTGTGTTATTAAATGAATAAATTTATATATATGATAAGAAAATAATTAATATACTTTTTGATTTAATTTACTTTACAATATTTATTT